TTGGAGGGAAGCCGCTGGGTGAGATCATCCGGAGTTTTGTAGTGTGGTGTCACCTCTATACAGATGACTACTATTCTTTTCCACTCAATTCCAAGGAAGCAGTTCCGATCCTGAACCAGTGTCTGACAGCAGTAACGGGCTGGATAAGAGTGAACAAACTGAAACTCAATCCTGACAAGGCAGAGTTCCTCCTGGTCAGTCGGAAGGCCATTCAGGGTATGGGGTAAAACTTGTGCACCAGCTGTGTCCATACCTTAAGAAATCTGATCTGGCCATGGTGGTCCATGCCATTGTCACATCCAGACTAGATGTATGTAGTGTGCTCTACATAGAGCCACAAAGATCTGCAGCCACGCTGTTCACTGGAGCGCCATACATGGAACGATCAAGTGGCAGCTCCACTGGCTACCAGTTTGCTTCTGGGCGCAATTCAACATGTTGGTTTTAAACTTTATAGCCCTGAATCTACCTGTCTGTATCTCCCAATATGAGCCTGCCCGAGCACTATGATCTGCTGGAGGGTCCGTACTCTCACTCCCACCCACATCTCAGGTGTGGTTGGTGGGAACAAGAAAGAGGGCCTTCTCGACGGTGGCTCCTTGGCTCTGGAATTCCCTCCCTAAGGACATCAGAATGGCTCCCTCCCTGTTGTCTTTCAGAAAGCAAATAAAAACTTTTCTCTGGAAGGAAGCCTTTGGGGAAGACAATGAGTACCTGGGTTAACTGGCAATGGATTTTGATTGTGGCAATGAGATTTAGCTGGTTTTTTTTTTAATGGCAGTTTTAATATTGTGAGAAGTTGGACTCTAAAAGGGAAGGCAGAATGATAAGCAAAAAAAACTCTAGGAAAGAGGGCAGAGGGATTTGGATGCATGTTTGAAAAATGAATGTATATCTAAGGGGCCAACACGCCTCACTTGAATCCAATGCAATGAAACTCAGAATTTAGATAATATCAGATGAAACCATTAGGCCTGTCCGGTTTCGTTCGTTAATTCGTTAATTCGTTAAACATTCGTTATTTTAGGCATTTTTGAAGCGATATCAAAACACATTTCCAAACCCGGAAGGGTTTTAAAATATCGAACCAGCAACCCCCATAGATTTAACGAGCTTCCGCTCGTTTCGTTAATGGGGTGGAGGCTGCTGGAGTGCTGGTGCCAGTGGGAGCCAATCCGGCGCTCCCAAGCAGTGCACTGTGGGTCCGTGGCTGTTTGTTTTTGATTGGCCGGCGAGCCCTTTCAAAGCGGCTCCGCGCGGCGCGGCCGTAGCTCATTGCTGCAGAGGGCGAGGGAGTTTGCATTGGCTTGGCTTGGCTAATGGCTAGCAACTGGATTGGATTCATTCCTTGCTGCTGTGAGTGCTGCTTGCTTCATTTGCTGTCTCCTTGCCTGTGTTTGGTCCACATTTGGGCCATTTTTTGGTTAATTTTCCATTTTAAAATATTTTTTATTTTTTTTTTAATATTATTTTAATATTATTTTTAATATTATTTTAATATTATTCTTAAAAAATATTCTAAAAAAGAAAAGACTCTTCTGTTGGTGTGTGCTCTCATTTGCTGTGTCCTGCCTGACTGTGTTTGGTCCACATTTGGGCCATTTTTTTGGTTAATTTTCCATTTTAAAATATTTTTTAATATTATTTTAATATTATTTTTTAATATTATTTTAATATTATTCTTAAAAATATTCTAAAAAAGAAAAGACTCTTCTGTTGGTGTGTGCTCTCATTTGCTGTCTCGTGGCTGTGTTTGGTCCACATTTGGGCCATTTTTTGGTTAATTTTCCATTTTAAAATATTTTTTAATATTATTTTAATATTATTCTTAAAAAATACAAAAAATATTCTAAAAATTCGTTAATATTTACAAAATTTCGTAAATACCAAAACTTTTTTTTTGGAAAGTTTTGTAAATATTTTAAATATCGAAACAAAAAAACACCCCAATTACAAATCGATTTTAGAAACAAATTTTTTCTTGATCAAACAGGCCTAGAAACCATGTATTGCTCACTTAAAGAGTTGAATGGTTTTGTCTGCACATAATTCACTACGAAAGGACTGCTTTACGTAATGAAACGATTAGTGAAGAAGCTTTCACACTCGCATCTAAGTAGCTGCCAATACAGTGGAGCTGACAACCAACATGATGCAGGATTTATTAGTCATGTCATTTTTGCCATCTGAATTGTCTAGATAAGAGCTAAATAGGCTTATTGATCACTGAGTATAATTCTTACAAATATGAAAATGGAGACAAAGTCCTCTCGATTCTGCATTAAGTAGTACATAAATGCCATGAATAAATAAAAGTCAACCCTTAAGGTTCACCTCATACAACCCCCTTATGACTATCTCAAGGAAGGATAATGCCCCAGGGACAATACTACTTTGCAGGAGGTTTTATGCTGTCTTAGGAAACACTCTTTGGTCTTAACTGGTGTGAAACAGAGGTGGTTCCGGTCTTCTATTTCTTTAAACTCAGGGATTGAGGGTTCTCTGCCGCTTGTCAATTAACCTGGAGCTATTTTGAAGTCCCTTTATCGTCTTCTGGCTGCCTTAGTTTCCAGCTAGTGACACAAAATAAAGTTCTCCGTTCTCCAACATGGATTCCATCTAGATTTTGTGATTTTGAGAGGATTGTGTTGGAGGTGATGTTTTAATTATTTATAGGATTTTATTGTGTATTTTATATTTAATAATCTGGTGTTCATGTATTTATCTATTTGCCTTGTATGTGAAAGACCGATGGTCTAAGCATCGAATAAACTGTAAACCAAACAAAATAAAGTTCAAACAGTGGAAACCAAAGCCGAGTGCTGAGTTAATCTTAAATCGTAGAGTTTAGTTATTGATATGGGCAAATAAGAAGGCTCTTTATAGTTCTTTTGGGCTATTTTTGTTTGTTGTTGTTCATTCGTTCAGTCATTTCCGACTCTTTGCGACTTCATGGACCAGTCCGCACCAGAGCTCCCTGTCGGTCATCACCACCCCCAGTTCCTTCAAGGTCAATCCAGTCACTTCAAGGTTCCCATCCATCTTGCCCTTGTTCAGCCCCTCTTCCTTTTTCCTTCAATTTTCCCCAGCATCATTGTCTTCTCTAAGCTTTCCTGTCTCTTCATGATGTGGCCAAAGTACTTAATCTTGGCCTCTACTATCCTTCCCTCCAATGAGCAGTCAGGCTTTATTTCCTGAAGTATGGACTGGTTGGATCTTCTCGCAGTCCAAGACACTCTCAGAACTTTCCTCCAACACCACAGCTCAAAAGCATCTCTCTTCCTTCGCTCAGCCTTCCTTATGGTCCAGCTCTCACTTCCGTAGGTGACTACGGGGAATACCATTGCTTTGACTATGCGGATCTTCGTTGCCAGTGTGATGTCTCTACTCTTCATTATTTTATCAAGATTGGTCATTGCTCTCCTCCCAAGAAGTAAGCATCTCCTGATTTCCTGGCTGCAGTCTGCGTCTGCAGTAACTTTTGCACCTAGAAATACAAAGTCTGTCACGGCCTCCACGCTATTTTTGTAGCCCGTCATAAATATATGTATTTAAGCTGAGAATCCCATATTCAAAATGCCTGGAACCAGATGTTCTCTGTATTTCAGATTTTTTGGGGCATTGGAAATTAGAGAAATCTACCCCTTACAAGGGGAATTCATTCCTGAAAGAGATATCATGGGGAAAGATGTCTCCACTGAAGCTTTTTCACTAATCCTTGTTTCCACAATAAACCAAATTTTCCAAGATCCAATTATCACAGGGACAGAAAGTGAGATAAGATCGTCTGAACAAGGGCACAGAGAGCAAGGCATACAAACAAAAAACATCACAGGGGTATTCACCCTTCCCTATGCTATCCAAAGCATATTTGTACATACACACATACACATATATATACACAAAAATACATACACATATATACATACACACACACACGGCTGGAATTACACTTAAAGCGTCCCTGTTCTGACTTAGGTACAAATTCAGCTTAAGAACAAACCTACAGAACCTATCTTGTTCATAATTTGGGGACTGCCTTTCTATGAAAATAATAATTTCCTATAAACGGGGTGTACCAAAAAAACTCCATACATAGGAAAAAAATCAAACTAATATTTTGTAATATAGTATATTTATCTCTATCTGTCTGACTATCTATCTAAATCTTTCAGATAGACAACAAATAGAGAATTTTTTTGAAATTTTGTAATGTGTATTTTGTAAATAAAGATCCATTTAGCTACAATTCATCACATTTGCTACGTAAGGTGACTTTCGGGACACCCAAATAATGATATGGCATTGTAAATATAAATAAGTAGAGGAGTTATTCAATATTGAAACCCCTTTGTGACTATCATATCAGAAGTGACTTGAGAAACTGCAAGTCGTTTCTGGTGTGAGAAAATTGGCTGTCTTGCAGCGATGTTAATCAGAGGATGCTGTGGGAGGCTTCTCTCATGTCCCCACATGGGAAGCTGGAGCTGACAGACAGGGGCTCACCCCATCTTGTGGATTCGAACCGCCAACCTTCAGGTCAGCAGTTCAGTCGGCACAGCCGTCTTCTCACTACCTTATGCGCCATCTCTTTATATTGCAAATGACATTTGTTATTAACAGTGTTTCTGGTTCAGTGATTGATGGGAAGATGGGCATGCATAATAAAATGCTTTTTTCCTTCACAGACATCTGCCACATTGACACTGCCATGGAATGCAGTTCAGAGCTGGATTGTATGGTCAGGGTAGAAAGCAGTTACACTGCACTGAGATGAGTCTCCACCATGCAGTTCCAAAGTGCATTGGCAGGGCAGTGTAGTTGGGCCCATCCTTGGAAAGAAGGCTTCACTCTCCTGACCCGGTGGCCAACCCGGAAGTGTGCTTGCCATACACGTGACGCGTCTCTCTCCGCTCTGTTCCTATCTCTGTGTTCCGTGCTCCCCTGCCAGGGCGTCCGCGTTCTGCCCAGAAGCGTGAGCCTCGGCGGGCGCCGTAGCGAGGGCTGGGCGGGGCCAGCGTAGGCCCAGGCGGGCGGGGCCGGGGCGATGGGGAATCTGTTCGGGCGCAAGCGGCGGAGCCGGGTCACCGAGCAGGATAAGGCCGTCCTGGTGAGAGAGCCGAGCGCGGCCGGAGGGAAGCAAGGCCGTGGCAGCGGGCGGCGCTCAGGCGGCGAGGGAGTCGCGCCTCCCGCCCGTCCCTGAGGCTTCCGCTTCCTCCCTGGCCTTCAGGAGGAGAGGAGTCTACCCTGGCCACACGGCTGCGTCCACACGGCCGAGTTATACCACTTCGGCGCCGTGTCTCGGTGCTTTGGGGTTCTGGGATCTGTTTCCAGGCCCTACAGCTCCCAGGATCCCGCAGGACGGGGCCTCCGTCTCTGAAGTGGTGCCAAACTGCAGTGAGACGGAAGTGTGGATGCTTCTCTGAGGCCTTGCCACTTAGGCCCCGTCTACACTGCCCTATAATCCAATTTCTGAATCCAGATTAAGTGCATTGCACTGGGTGATTGGGCAGTGTAGACTTTTACAGTCCAGTTCAAATAAATTAATCTGGATTCTGAAACTGGATTATAAACAGTGCAGCCTTAGGACTCTTCCACACAGCCATGTAACACAGAATATCAAGACAGGTAATCCCACAACGTCTGCTTTGAACTGGGTTATCTCAGGGCCCTTCCACACAGCCAAACTAGGCAAAAGTATGATAGCCGGGACCCAATGCTGGTTGCACAACGCGGGTCAGAATTAGAGAAGCGAACACATTGCGTATTTGAACATGTTTCCATACAATACCCGGATAGCCTTAAGCACTATGCTTGGCTGTTTGTTGCCCTCCCCCCCCCCTTTTTGGCAAACTATCTTGCCACGACTCTGTCGCACCTGTGTCTCAGGCTGAGACCCCGGTGGCGCAGTGGGTTAAAGCCCTGTGCCAGCAGGACTGAAGACCGACAGGTCGCAGGTTCAAATCCGGGGAGAGGCGGATGAGCTCCCTCTATCAGCTCCAGCTCCTCATGCGGGGACATGAGAGAAGCCTCCCACAAGGATGATAAAAACATCAAAATCATCCAGGCGTCCCCTGGGCAACGTCCTTGCAGATAGTCAGTTCTCTCACACCAGAAGTGACTTGCAGTTTCTCAAGTCACTCCTGACATGATAACCCCCCCCCCAAAAAAAAACCCCTGTGTCTCTCACTCGCTAAGCTGTCTCGGCATTGGATCCCACCTGTCATACTTTTGCTCAGCTCTATATCTCAGAATATCAAGGCAGAAAATTCCACAATATCTGCTTTGAATTGGGTTATCTAAGTCCACACTGCCATATATTCCACTTAAAAGCAGAAAATCTGGAATAATGTTCAGCTGTGTGAAAGGGGCCTCAGATAACCCAGGTCAAAGCAGATAATGTGGGATTTTCTGCCTTTATATTCTGGGATATAGGGCTGTGTGGAAGGGCCCTGAGTCCACACTGCCATATAAACCAGTTCAAAGCAGATAATGTGGGATTTTATACAACTTAAAATATAGAAATATAAAAACAGTATCAAACATCAATTAATATTAAAGTGCAGGTTAAATTTATAAAAGCATATAAAATCACAGCAGCCTCTGACATGACAATATCTGGAGAGCGTGCCCCATTCCCAGCGCACTTTAAATTGTTCCTAATTCCCACAACAGGTGCATAGGAAACAGTATTGTTCCTAATGAGAGTATTTGTCCAACTCACTATCGTTGTAGAACTTTTGGCCCTCTAGATATTGATGAACTACTGTTCCCATCATGCCTCACTATTGACCAGGATGACAATGGCTGATAAGAATTGGAGCTCAACACCTGGAAAGCTAAAGAGTTACCCAGTCATAATTTACATTGACAGGAATTCGGTCTGCATGTTTCAGACAAATCTTTCCTAACTATAAGTGGAGAAGCTAGGGACTGGCCCTTGGCCCCTGTTTTCCACACAGGTGTTTTTGGGCTTAGCTGCATTCAGTATTACAGTGCTTGTTTTGTGTAGCTTCAAAAATGTCTAGGTCTTAAATGCCATTTTCCTATAATCATATCTTATCTCTCGATAATAGTTCTATGATGGTCTCAAGTGAATATTTCCCCAAAACTAGGAAACATTACTCCTTTGTTCTCTTGAATCCTTTGATACTATGGCCTCTTCTACACTGCCATGTAATCCAGATTATCGAAGCAGATAATCCACATTATCTATTTTGAACTTGATTATATGAGTCTAGACTGTCATAATCCAGTTCAAAGCATATAATCTGGATATTATATAGCAATGTAGTAGGGGCCTAAGGTGGCCATCCTATCTACATGAGGCAAAGCAGGTGATGGCATATTTCTTACAAAAAAAATAATCTGCCACCTGTTTTAATATCTCTGATACCAGCCAAGCATCTTCTACTCATAGCCTTTTAACAATTTTAACAGCATTTACATTGTTTTACCTCCTGCTTGTGTTGTTCCCTCTATTTTTTATTATTCCCATAATATTTATATGGAAGGTTGGCACATAAATTAAATATTGAGTGTTATATCGATTTTAATCGATTTGCCCCAAGGAAATGGGAAATTATTGTTTCCACTCAATGTTTGATGTTTTGTCTTGTGTCTGTTATAACAGGCTGTGTTTTTAATTTAATTTTAGTTGTTAAATTATAATTTCATGTTTATATGTTGGGTTGTTTAAATTTTGTTAGTATGAATGTATTGTTGTTATATTCGGGCATTGAATGTTTGCCTTTTATGTTTGGAATCCTCCTTGAGTCCCTTTTGTGGAGATAGAGCAGAATATAAAGTTTTATAATAATAATAATAATAATAATAATTATTATTATTATTATTATTATTATTATTATTATTATATTTGACCTTGGGACATGCATTCAGAAAACCACTGAAACTGTGACTGTTAAGCTTATTGGTCCTATAGGACAGGGCTTATTAAACTTACTTAAATAGTGAGTTTGTTCTTATTTTTGCATAATTTAACTTTTACTTTCTTCTACCACTCTTCCAAGCAACTGCAAACCAGACCTGAGACCAGGGGCCGTTCAACACAGCCCTATATCCCAGAATATCGAGGTGGAAAATCCCACATTACCTGCTTTGAACTGGAATATATGGCAGTGTCAACTCAGATAACCCAGTTCAAAGCAGATATTGTGGGATTTTCTGCCTTGATATTCTGAAATATAGGGCTGTGTGGAAAGACCACAGGACTAGGTTTCTAAGTAGGGCTCATTCCTACCATTCTGCCTAGTAAATTGGAGGAGCATCTGGATAAATCATAGTCAGATGGAAAAGGATTTCATCATCCTCGGAGATCCACTCTAGTCCTCCAGAGGGCTCAGCAGCTGCTGTAATCTTTTCACATCTGCTACCTGGTCATAAGCAGCTACGTCTCTGATTCCCCTACTCTCTACAGCAGTGGTTCTCAGTGAGTCCCCAGATGTTTTGATCTTCAACTCCCAGAAATCCTAACAGCTGGCTGGGATTTCTGGGAGTTGTAGGCCAAAGCACCTGGGGACCCACAGGTTGAGAACCACTGCTCTACAGACACTCTCTATATGGAAGGGGTCATTGTGGAGAGAGGAAAGGCATATGCATACCTACCTCCGTAAGGGGTATACACAGACATAATGCAGAGTTATGACCTTTTATACTATTAATAGGGTGCCAGCCATTGTTGCTGCCTCTTTACAATGCTGGTAAGACTTGGTGGTACATCTTCTAATGACCCCATTTCTGTTCTTATTTAGCAATTGAAACAGCAGCGAGACAAACTGAAGCAATATCAGAAAAGAATATCACTGCAGTTGGAGCGGGAAAGGGCTTTTGCTCGGCAACTACTAAAGGATGGCAAGAAAGAGTAAGTCACTTCTGAATCATGGAGGGCCCTTCCACACAGTTTTATACCCAGAATATCATGGCAGATAATCCACAATATCTGCTTTGAACTGGGTTATCTGAGTCCATACTGCCACATAATCCACTTCAATGTGAATTTTATACAGCTGTGTAGAAGGGTCCGGAGTTTGCATTTTTCTTCATGGACTTCTTTTTGGGTTGGTTTAGAGATTAAGGTATTATCCATGTGATGTCATCACAACTGTACATGGGATGTGTTTAGGTAGAGAAACGCTGGCATTGCATCTGCCAGTGCAACCACCACTAAGCGATTTGCTTGTTGTCCTAACTGGAAAATTCGCTACCATATTTACAGAAACTTATGGGTCATTCTAAGATACATTTTCTCCATGCAGATGTGTCCCTGTAAAGCTGTGGTTCTCGAACTGTGCTCCTCGGGGTGTTTTGGACTTCAGCTCCCAGAAATCCCATCCATCATACCAACTGTTAGTATTTGTGGGAGTTCAAGTCCAAAAACATCTGAAGGAGCACAGTTTGAGAAGCAGTGGTGTAAAGAATAGCCATGTGGACTTGTCCTATTTACGGCAGGTATGGTTGTTGTAAGTGAAACTTTGTAATTACACTGATTTAACCTACATAATGACTCAGTAGTAATGTTAATAATTTCATGTGTCAGATTCAGTTCTTGATATTTCCTGTTAAATATGACAGAATTAGGAACTACTTTAGTGCTACACTTTGGAGTTTTGTTTTGTTTTTGTTTTTATAAAAAGACATACACAACAAATAAGGCAAAGCCTCACCATTCTGTGCAGGAGTGCATGCTTTTTATGGAGAAGGTCTTTTGGAATGCATTTTACCTATTGGTGTGAAAACCTGCAGAGGAAAAAATGGAGGAAAGAGGTTTTGTTAGTTTTGATTCCCCAGAAAAAAATAAAAATTCAGATTTGAGTACATGAGAAATTGATATATATATATATATATATATATATATATATATAAATAAAAATGTAATGTTTGTTTGTGGGATTAACATAACTCAAAAACCACTGGAAGAATTGACACCAAATTTGGACACAACACAACAGGCCAACGAGTGACCATCACTTATAAAAACTCTGAAAAACACAGCAGAAGCAAAATATATATATACAAAAAAACATTACAATGCATGTGCAAAACCACATATACACACATATATATACACACAAAACACATATACACAGCAACGCGTGGCAGGGGACGGCTAGTGTATATATGTATATATGTATATGTATAGAATGGGGAATAAATATACAGTGTCTGATCACTGACCTGCTTTGGATCCCAGTCCTGAGAGAAAAGCGGGATACAAATAAATATAATCATCATCACCATAGTTCCTGTTCTTGGTAATCTTGTCATCTTTTTGTATAAAAGCATGCTTTATGTCTGCCTAAAATTATGATTTTTGCCTACTCATAATAAAGTTGACAAAACCAAAGAGATCCCTTACATTTCAATAACCTTGTTGTGAATGGTACTTTCAATAAATTAAATATGACAGCTTTCTCCCAAACAAAATTGTATATTTCTGTAATGTTGTGTACATGATATATTTTATGTTATGTACATATATTTAAACTGTAAGGGGTACTAATGCCACTTTTTTCAATTTTACAAATATACCTACATTTCTGCAATAAAAACAGGGGAAATGCTTTTTCAATGGCTTCAAAGTTTCCATAAATGTGTTACATCGCTAGGTGTGCTTTATGGGTGTTTCCCTTTGATAACTTGTAAATGCTGTTGGAATCTGATGAAATATATGCTTGGTTGATACAACAAAACTGTAAAATACTTTAAAGAGCTTGCTTGCATCTGAGGTCAATGGGTTTTCCCCCCATTTAGGAAAGCCAAGCTTCTCCTCAAGAAGAAGCGGTATCAAGAACAACTACTGGACAAGACGGAAAACCAAATCAGCAACCTGGAACGTATGGTACGTTTCTGGACTTGTTTTCAGGACTTCTAGAATGGTGGTATGGATGTACTACTGAATTGTGTGTTACTGCATGTAATTTCTAATGCAACTGGGCCATACTTAATCTTAATTGAACAGCTTTGGATATGCTGAGTGGAACTTATGAGCTGTTAAATACTTGGCCAGTTGTACTGATACAGAAAATGGAGCCTCCCTTTTCCCTATGTATGGGAGTCAGGATTTTTCATTCTTTCTTAAAGCTCTGATACCCACTTAATATTTTATTTACAAATACGATTTACTAATTTCTAGGTATCTGGTTCCTTTGCCCATGTTTTTCTCTAGTTCTGTCAGAGTTGTGAATACAGCCATGTAGTCAAGAAGGTCTGTATCAGAAAGTAGGGCAGGGGGTAGCAGCACATGGATAACTTGTAGTCTGTTCCTTGGTACTGACATAACCCCTATTGATTTAAGAGGACTACTTTGACTAGGTTTGCAATCATTCATTATCACTCATGTATGAGTCAACCTCATGCATAAGTTGAGGGCACATTGTGAGGCCAAAATTTGGGATTTTAATATTCATGGATATGATGAAAGTTATTCTGTGGAGAGCCTTAGGAGACCAGTCGCTTCTGGCCACCTCTGCCATTTCCCTACCCAGACACCCAAAAAAGCCACCAGTAGTACCACAGCAGAGAGAATAGAGGGGATCAATGCTTCTTTTGGGTTATCCTGGGATGGACTAAACTCTTGCTTTTGTCACTCTGCTCAGAAAAAGGGATGATTCCTTTTTTGATAAAGAGTTGAGTATTTCCATTGACCCCGAGATTAATCAGCCTAGGATTTTTTGGTTGATTTTTTGAGTAAAATTTCTAGACTTATCCATAGGTATAGGGTGATGGATTTTGGCAGCTAAATCGATCATTTACCATTATTGGGGATATAGCAAGATCCTAAACTGAAAATATTGAGGCATTTGTGATCTGTGTGGGACTGTATGTAGGACTTGCAGACTGTATCTCTACCAAGGAGTTGCATTAGTTCATGGCCACCACTGTCTGCTAGTGAATAAAGGGGAATGGTTTTTTTCATGTAGGCTCATCAGTGTTGTACAGACGTTAGTACCACATCATTGGTCTGTTTATTTATGTAATTTATTTTTATGCAATATGTTGATTTATTGTTTTTGTTTATAGGTCGGGGGGGGGGGGGTTAATGGTTACCTGTATTATGTAGTCTTGCTTTTCTATTTTGTTGCCCACTTTGAGTTCCATCCATGGGAGAAAACCAAATAAATGAATGAAGAAATAATAAAAAATTATTTGTATTCCACCCTATCTCTTCAGGGGGACTTAATAAGAATAAGAATAATAGCAGCTAAAATGGCAGGTAGATGTGGATTACATTCACTGACAGCACTTCTTAACCCCCTTTTAATTAATTATTATTATTATTTTGCTTCTTTCAGGTTCAGGATATTGAATTCACACAAATAGAGATGAAAATTATTGAAGGCCTCAAAATTGGTAATGAGTGTTTAAATAAGATGCACCAGGTAGGTATTAGTGAAGATGCATGGACTATATTGGTTATTCATGCATTATCCTTTATATGTGATATATGGGTTTCTCTTCCTGTAGGTCATGTCAATAGAAGAAGTGGAGAGGATCATGGATGAAACCCAAGAAGCCGTAGAGTACCAGAGGGTATGTATGGTCTCCATGTGACATCCCAGAACTCCTCTAAGCAATGCCAGGTGCTCATTTTTGTAACTTTTGCATTTCGCCCAGTTGGATGTTAAAGGGATTTTTCTTGTGGCAGCTCATTTACTTGGACTTCGTAGAAGGAGGCATTTTCTTCTACTGTGTTGTATGCAGGTATAGATTAGCTTAATCCTTGCTCTTAAAGTAAGATAAAACTAGGTCTCCAGATATATTAAACAAGTCAAATACTACCTTTCCTTGAACCATAGTGCTGTTATTTAATATGAGGATGACTGTGCTACTCTTGTGATTCTGCTCTCTTAGCGATTTTGCTACTCTTGTTCTATTGAGACACATGTCCCTTTGCTTTTGCAGCAAATAGATGAGATCCTGTCAGGAAGCTTCACTGTAGAGGATGAAGATGCCATCTTAGCAGAATTAGATGCCATCACGCAGGTAAATGTTATTGTGCTGCATTGCGAAATCATAGTTTTTCATCACAAAGAGTGCCAGAGCGGTGCAGTTGATGTGCAAAAAGAGCCCTAATTATAGCTATTTTCATCTGTTATGAATCCCTTAAAGGGATTTGTGTGACACTTAAAGATAAATAATTCCTTAACTCTGAAGCAGCAAGTGGGCAATTGCGGCAAGTTTAGAAGTGAGTGGAAGTCCTCCTGCTTGTTCTGAAAACTTTATGTTACATGGTAGGAGAGGTGGTGGCAATCTATGTCAAAAATAAATTGCTGTCCCAGGAGAGATCACCAACCCTTATGGTCTAAAAGTTGGAGTTGGTATCATTGCTCCACGTCACTCGCAGAAGCAAAAACGAGTGGTGGTGATTCAGGTACAATCTATCCTGTTTCCCTTCGCTCATCAGCACAGGGAAAGAGTGGCAGCAATGGTGTTCATCTGGAATGAGCAGATAGGCCAGATCTCTAGCTGTCCAGACTGCCCTGACACCCCGGATGCTGCAAGGATAGAAAGTGACAAGCAGTCATCTTGGCAAAACCTTTTTCCCAAGGAGTCACTGCAGTGGTGCAATGCTGAAGCTTCCTTCCCTCAGAGTGCTTCAACAGTATTTTCCCAAAGAGGGAAAGGATTTGATCTTTTCACCATAGCAGCAGAAGGTGCTTTTAGGTCAGCATTTCTCAACCTGGGGGTCGTGAATGGGCATTGCAGAGGGGTCACCAAAGACCATAAGAAAAAACATATTTCTGATGGTCTTAGGAACTACAACTCCAAAAATCAAGATCAGTGCCCACCAAACTCTTCCAGTCTTTTTTGTTGGGTCACGGGAGTTCTGTGTGCCAAGTTTGGTTCAATTCCATCGTTGGAGTTCAGAATGCTCCTTGATTGTAGGTGAACTACCCCTCGGCTTTGGAACGCCCTCCCTATAGAGGTAAGATCAGCCCCCTCGCTGATGGTGTTTCGAAAAAGATTGAAGACATGGATGTTTGAACAAGCATTCGGTTAACCCGGTGCAATGAATTCTGATGATCAAGGACTGGTAATCATGGACGATGAGATTGGATTACGATTTCAGTTACGAGATGCAATTGGATTGTTATTGGTGGCCCAATAATTTTGTATTGTATATGTGTTTTTATGCTTTTAAACTGAATATTGTGATTTTTGTAGTGTTGTAAACCGCATTGAGTCGCCGATTCAGGCTGAGAAATAGCGGTATACAAGCGCAGTAATAAATAAAATAAATAAATAAATAAATAAACTATAAATCCCAGCAACTACAACTCACAAATGTCAAGGTCTATTTTCCCCAAAGTCCACCAGTGGTCACATTTGGGCATATTGAGTATTTGAGCCAAATTTGGTCCAGATCCATCATTGTTTGAGTCCACAGTGCTGTTTGGATGTAGGTGAACTACAACTCCAAAACTCAAGGTCACTGCCCACCAAATCCTTCCAGTGTTTTCTGTTGTTCATGGGAGGTCTGTGTGCCAAGTTTGGTTCAATTCCATCCTTGGTGGAGTTCAGCATGCTCTTTGATCGTATGAATCCCTGCAACGATAAGTCCCAAATGACAAAATTACCCCCCCCCCCAAATATCAGGTATTTGTACCAAATTTGGTCCAGTGAATGAAAATACATCCTGTATATCAGATATTTACATTACAATTCATAACACTAGCAAAATTACAGTGATGAAGTAGCAAGGAAAATAATTTTATGATTGAGGGTCACCACTACATAAGGAACTGTATTAAGGGATCGCGGCACGAGGAAGGTTGAGAACCACTGTTTTAGATGAAGAAAGAAGAAGTTGAAATCCTTATTTAAGGTTTTGCTGTACACAAAATATGTGTTTACTGTATGTGCCCTCTCTTTTCATAGGAACAGATTGATCTTCCAGAAGTTCCTTCAGAACCCCTCCCAGAAAAGATTCCAGGTAGCTTTATCTTGTTGTCTTTCTCCCTATGATGTTTCTGTGGTGCACATTTCATATGTTTCTATGAAATATATTTTATGAGGGGAAATTCAATGGAATGTTTGCCAGAATCTGTTCCAATATTACGTCTGTAGGCATCTCTGCAAGTACTGTGTCCCCTAGTGTATGCTTTATTATGCCACAGTCATGTTAATTATCTTCTTGTAAGAATACTCAAATTGGTTGTAGGGTTAGTTGTAGGGTTAGTAGTTCCACAAAAGTGGAAGATATTGGAATGGTGAAAATGAAAAGAGCAATTTTAAATAATGTAATGGGCCATTGCCAGTGTTGGCAGCCTCATTACTTCACCCATGAGTCTTGGCGGGCTACATCCCCTCCAAGTTTGGATGAAGAGTAAAGAGGTTTTTCCCAAATGGACAGTAGTACCCCTGCTACCTCTGATGGGGTGATTCTTGTATTTCATCATGTTTTGACTGTTCATAATCACTTGATTTGGAAAAAAAAGTTCTGTAGAAGTGAAACAGGGCCAGATGTCAGAAAACATGACTAAAAGACCAATAGCTATTGGCCATTAGGGGCAGAATATGCCCCCCTCCTAAAATCTGCACCATTGAGAGCTTCATGTAGCCCATAAGCTATGCTTGCCCACCCCGACCAAAGGCATGGAGTAGATTCATGTTTATTTATTATTTATTTTCAGCATTTATATTCCACCCTTCTCACCCTGAAGGGGACTCAGGGCAGATCACAGAACACATACATGGCAAACATTCAGTGCCGTTAGACATACAGGACAGACAGACAGATAGAGGTATGTGTTGGCATTTTTTCCAACTTGGAGGTTATGCTCGATTCTGGCTACAGGGGGTGCTTTTGCTCCATCCTCTATGATGATAAGTGTAAAGATCCCTTACCTTTCCAGCCTGGATGGCAGGGCCTAGGAGCGGCAGGCCAGTTAGTTGCAGCTTTAGTAGGCCTGGCAGAGGGCAGCAGTAGCCATTTTAGTTCAGGGCAAACACCATTTTAGAGAGGGGGAGTGTCCTAGGCCTGAGTTAGCATTAGAACAGCCAGGATTGGTTTAGAAAAGGGGGCGGAGTTTAGCAAGGTTTGGAGGGAAAGAAGGAGGCTTTTTCAGTCAGTCTGGTGTTGTTGGGGATTAGAGTAGGAAGGTAGTTTAGGAGTTCGTGTCTTAAGATTAGTTAAGAGAAGGCAGTTTGCCTTAGGTTTTGCCAGCAAAAGATAGCTGGTTTTTTTTTGTAGTTAGCTAGGCCTCAGTTTAGGTTAGCTAAGCTACAGTTGTATCTTGACAGAGATTCAGCTCCTGTCAAGTGTACTTGTTGTTAAAGAGAAGAAAATCTCTGTATCTGTAACAAAGAAAGAGCCATTACATGTAACTATTACGCTTTGAACACAAACCAGAATTTCTATGTAACAGCCAAGATTTCAACCAGCATTTATTCTCTTCTGTATTTCTATCAATAAACTTTCCTTGATATTTTAAAAAACTCAAAAAGCCTGAGTCAAGTGTGCCTTTTGTGGCTATAGTCCCTTTCTCAAACAATCTCAATTGTTTTCCTTTAAAGAAGCAAATAAGAAGACACAGTGCTTGGTGATCTTACAAGCCCTTTTTATTATTTAAAACAGCTAGGGTGTTCCTGTACATTTCAGTTTATGGTGGCAGCGGAAGTTCAAGAGAGATATTCCCTCATAACATTTATATTGGTGCCAGTGAATTCTTTATATTGGAGGGACAGTTGGTGGGATTTGTTTGCCCCCTGTCCAGCTATTGTTTGCCATAAAGGAGACTATTATAATTGGTGCCAGCTGGTGGGATCTGTTTTCCCCCTGTCCAGAGATATTGTTGGGGCCATATATACTGTAGCCTTTATAATAAGCCTTTTGATCAGAGACTTTCCTCTTGTTTTTCGATTGCCACTGTCTAATACGTTGGCAGTCCTTGGCCACTAAACCATATCAAGACAACACCAGGAATTCAATCCTGTTCTGACCCAAATATACAGTCATACTGTTTCAAAGAGAAAACCAAGATCTTCCTGCACTGGGGATAAAATATATGGGTCTACCTAAGCAATTAACTGTGAGTGGGGATTTCTCTGTATGAATATGTGGCAGTGTAAATTTCTGCATGTGATCAAGAAAACTGAATTCAAGTAATAGAAGGAGCTTGGTGAATAGTTGGTCAGAGTGTGTTTAGTTCTAGCCCTTTCAGAGAGAGTTTCTCTTCACATATGTGTTTCCTTTTCTCCTCAGAAACATCGCCAGTCAGAGTCGAACCAAAGCCAGAGCTGGTGGCTGCGTCTTAACTCCACTCCTCGGGGGGACCTTGCAGGGAGCCCCTCAATCCCAGGATGCCTGGGCTGCAAGAGGCCCCCATGGTGTCCGGTCGGCACTGAACGACCATGCTGGAGCAGGTTTTCCTGCACAGGATGGAAGCTGTAACTGGTTATTGTTTCCATATCAAGATTATTTTGTAATGTTCACACTCATCCTCCTCCTTTTTTGTAACTTAAATTGGATTAAATGGTAACTATCAAACCCTTCAAGCCAAATCCTTTCTACAGACCAGATTTCAGCTGCAAACCTGCCTCAGATGCCAGCACAGCCTCTTGCTAACTCTGCCTAAACCCCCTTGGTGTCCCTTTCTGGGCACAGTGAAGAGTTTTGAGCTTTCTGCTGGACAAAGGAAAGAACTGCTGGGAGACCCTTTCAAGCTTCTTTTCGACTTGCCTCTCTTCAGTCCTTTGGCTTTTCTTGAATGGATTCTCTTTGCACGAATGGAAGTCCTGAACATGGACCTCTACTTGAATTAGGTTGATGCTGAAATTGCTAGTGACATCTCCTTGTGCCTAGCGTGCTAGTTGGAGACAAAATAAGGTTGCCCAGTGTTTACTGTGCAGTTGAGATGAATACACTTACAGTTCTATGCACCAGGGAGCAATGCAAGGCTGCTGGACTTACTCTTCAAAAACTGAAGGCCTATTTCTACAGGGGCTAAAGCACGTGCTAAGGATTTATGCATCAGATCCTACACTAGCCTCCTGCTTTTTCTTCTTTCTCCAAAAATCCATGAAACAAAGGTGATGAACATGCAGAAGCTTCTCTAAAAGAGGGAGGATGTGTTAATTGAAAAGCAGCTTCTTGATGCCTCTTGTTGCTCCTCAGCCTGACATAACTATACAGATTATCCTTTCCTGTGGTGGGGACTGCTTATTGCCTACTTTATTTCCATGTTCTTGAAAGGAGGAGTCGGAAACATAAGCTAATGCTATCCACACGGGGCTAAACATTGTATCCCTCTTATAGAAAACCTGAATGTCTATGTGTCTTCCCCCCCCCCCCCTAAATGTTGTCATGGGCTGGATCCCAGTTAACTTTATGGTGTCACGGTCAGCCTGGAGATCAGAACCATGGGCCTAAGCAGCCTTTGTGATTGCTGTCCACCTTGGCTTATCCAAAGGATCCATCCTTGAGAGACAGCTGGTCTGTGCTGAGCATGTCCCTGTGTTTCCACATGACATGGTGTGGCCTTCCTATGCATGGACAGTTGAATGGGTTGATGCAGATGAAATAGAGAGAGCAATACTTGACTTTCTGACTTGAGTAGCAGTTCCCTTAAGCAGAGGAAAATTGTTTTTTCCCCCAGCTGTGTTGTGAGCTGCTGTCTGGAGTGAGAATGGAGCTGTATCCTTTTGCTCCTTAAAATATGAGAAATAGCACTCTGAGAGTGTAGTGCTGAATAAACAAGTCACTTTTCAGCAGATCTTTAGCTGAGGCTCTGCTGATTTTGATGCTGAACGGGCCCATGGGTGTTTACTTTTCAAAGTGCTCAGCCAACACTTCTCTGTTTTCATCCCTTCAACTGCCTTCAATGCCACACCTAGAGTCATCCCACAGCATGGAAAAAGCTGAGCAGTGCATTAGATAAATCTTAGTAGAGATGATAGTTCACATTTGAAGCACACTCCTGTCTCTAATATGCTCACATTTCAGTTTAGAATTGGAAGCATTCAAAAAGCCTTTACACAGGGATAAGGCAGCTGTCAGCCTCCAGATATTTTTTTAATTGCAACTGCAAATAACCTTTACCAATGGATTGGTAATCTAGACTGTGGTAATAGCAAAAGGAAAGCACAGCTGCCCATCCTCCATTATTCTTTGGAAACTGAAAAATTAAGGAGCGTGCATTGTGGTTTCTTCAAGACTGTATCTGGTGCCAGTTGTGACTCAGTATTGCTAGTCTTTGTTCACCAGGTGGCAGTCTTCTCTTTACTGTTCATCAATGCTATTACATTTTTCTCTATCCCAATCTTAGTTGCTCTATATTGATTGCATTGATTTTTACTTCTTTGAGCAAATGGAAGAGCACAAAGCCTTTCCCACTACTGTTATGGGTACCCTACATCCATTGAGCTCCCTTGTAGGAAGATTGTTCATGCGCTCTTTGGGTCCATGGTTAATAATGTGGCTCAGCGCTTGGGGAATAGATAGAAAAAGTGTTTCTCCTTTAACTGCCAATAAGAACAGGAAAGAAAAAAAGAGCTAGTAAAAATTGAAGGTCAGTTGTCCCTGTGGGAGACAGCTTTGCAGATGTGCATAGTGGCCTTAGGCAGCAACCATGGAGTTAACTAAATTGCTCCCTCTGTGAAACCATCTTTGGTGGAACCACGTGGAATTAAGCTGCCACCCTCCTGTAAAGGCTCCAGACTCTCCATTTGCTGTAAACTAACAAACAATTTCCATCTCTTGGCTGAACCCTTTGGATGAGAGTGCAAGTGGCAACAATAAAGTATTTCTAATGCCTTCACCTTCTAGCATAGAGTGATGTATCTTGGTTGGTGTTACGACACCGTCTCTTATTTGGGACTTGGAGCATTTGGGGGATAGCAGATACTTAGAATTGCTCTTGAAGACAGAGACCAACCTCTGGGGAAAGCCATGTTATTGATACAGCAGGTAGAGAATGATGACTAACACTCAACGATCCTAGAACATACACCAAGGACAGTGATGTCTCAATGTTCCATGCCACTGAAAATCAGTATAGTTTCCAGACTCACCGAAAGCCATCACTATAATATCCAAACTATTTTAAATATTAAACCTGAAAGAAAAAGAAAAAATCAAAGAAGAAAGTGTTATTGCAAACCTGTTGGATTTCTCGCCTACTCTCTGCTTGTTGAGCAGTTCCCCCAAAAGTTTATCTCCTTACGTTGTAACCTGATTAATAACATCTTCCTGCCCCCAAAAAGTTGTCTTTCACTAGTGATGGATAATGACAAAACAGAAAAGGATCTTGTTTCTTTTGTGTATTGCTAAGAACAAAACCATGATGGAGACCACAGCGTATTACACATTATGCAAGTGGCATTCTTTCTAAATAGAGCACTGCTCAAAAGTTGTCCATGAGGCAGTGTTGTCTCTTCTCACTTGATATGCATGTTCCTCTTGCTGCTTTATCTTCAGGGAATTGCTGCCTTTTAGATTTGTCATGAGTGGGCACCTTTCCTCCTCTGTGCCCACTGTCCCTTGTGGCCTATGCACATTCCCTTATGGAGGAGTTGTTCGGGAGGGGGGTGTCTCCCTCCCTTTTTAAATGAAGCTTGTGTAACTGCTGCAGTGATGCCTGGCCCTGATGTGGTTTCTATGCCAACCCAATGCGGAACCGGGCAAAGAAAAGTGTAGAAAAGGGGTTTGCTGTGAAAGTGGCTGAAACTAGTTTTTTTTTTCCCTGAGCTCCCACCTGCTTCCTGTAGATTAGGGGTGGACAAGATACGGCCTTGCAGATTTCATTGTAAGAGATTATAGCAGCCCAGTAGAATTTGAGAGGGTCACGTTTCTCAGCTCTGCTATAGATGAACAAAATTACTTGCCTGCCTGCATTGTTCTGATTTGCAACATTCAGTTATCCATGTTAAATTAGATGCAGGCTGTAAAGAAACTGTCTTCTCCTTTTTCTCTTGAGATAATCATTATAGCTTGCATTAGAGAATGGCTGGCATAGGCCTTCCCTGGGATGAATAGAGATTCCTTCCCTTTCCACCTTTATGGTTCCAGTGGTTAATCAGTGTTTGCAAACTATAGAATAAGGTAAGTACAGGCTATGCAGTTTCTAAGAGGGGCGGTAAAGGAAGGAGCCTTTCATCTTCATACCTTTTCCTGCCAGAGGGATTCTTTCTCTGGATGTGGCTCAAGGGCTAGCCATTTCCCTTCTTAAATCTCTACTTCCCATTTCCCATCATAAATCTCTACTTATTGCTCATACTTCCAGATGACAATCTTAAGTGCTGTGGAAGAGATGAAGATTCCTGTGTTCAAAAATCATAAGGCCATATTCCAAAGTTAAAACCAGTCACTAGAGGAAGAAGCTTTTGACTGGTAGGTGATATAAACAAACCTGTAATAATTAAAAGGAACCACTTTCAAAAGCTCCCAAGTCTGGAAAGGAGAGCATTTCTCAATAGAGATTTATGGAGTTGGTTCCTGAATACAGAAGAGAGAACAAACAAGGAAGTACTTGCAAGGTGGGAGTACTGTATAAGTCCAGCTCTTTAATAATGCCATTTTGGTAGCAGGTAACAGGCCTGCTTCAGGTGACCTTTGAAAGTAGAATGTCAGATCCAGATTCACGGTTTTGGAACAAGATAAACAACTTGGGAGTCCCATGTTGCTGGGGAGGGGGGGGGGGCGCAGGAGCAAAAAAACAAAACACAGCTTTTGAGTCTAAAATCACAACAGGTGGTGGTGGATGGAAATAATGGAGATATGTCTGTGTCCTAGGAGGCAAGCGAATTCAGGGAGCAAAAGAAATTGTTCCCTAGGAGACAATAAAGCCCCCCAAATCCTACCATTTGCTCACCCTGGAGATAAACTAGAAGATAAACAAGCTCTTTCTCTGGCTAATCTGGCTTCCCAACAAATATGATGTCTGCATTGTCATTTCATTTCAAATTGTTCTGTTTTCTACCCAGCAACAGTTCCCAGCCAGGAACCAAAAACACCCTCCCTAGATCTGATGTGTGTTGTCAGCAAAATGATGATTCCTCACTGTTAATTTGGATATTTTTAGGACCATAATAAACCTCCATAATTGAAAGCAAAGCATCGCTAATCTACAGAAGTGCCAAAAATCTTAAGTGCACCCTACCCCCAAACAGTCCCTCATCCCAACATGTTCTTAATGATAATTTCTTGTAACTCAGTAAAACAAGGAGTAGATAATGGATTCTTGTATGGATCTGCCTTAATGTATGCAATAATCTTTATATCAGTAAAGTTTGCTGGAGCCAGATTATGAAAGGCCAGATGGCTGATGATAATGTGCATATGTTGCATCTAGCATGTATTATTTTGTAGCTGGGTTGCAAAAAACAAACAAACAAACAAACAAACAAAAAGCTGTGGTCAGGTATCAGGAACACTTCAGGATTTGGCACTTAGTCATATATAACTTGGTCTGCTAGTCCTCATGCTTCCTGAGTTTTTCTCTCCACCTTTTTCTAATTCACTAAATCTCCAGCAGCAGAACTCCTTATGCAGTTCAGCCCTGTGCAGCAGGCTAAAGAAAGGTCTCTACCTTGTATTAGACAGTTCAAGTAAATACATATCTGTTGTATTTACTTGAATTTCCTGGTCATGTTAACAGATGCAGCAAATAATGCAGATTAAAAAAATCAAATTGAGAAACCATGACTAAAATTAAAACTAAATAAAAATTATAGTACTTAAACGAATTCAACCTTCTTCCAGTTCAGTCCATACCAAGTTAAACAGATCATTCCTGGGACTGACATTCACAATCCCTTAAATACACAACCTCTCTTGTTTGTTTTGCTTACAAGTAGCCACATGGAACTTACTTTTGGGCCACAATACTGTACATTCATAGACTTTAATCAGTGATTCCAAGTAACTTCAACTATTGCAGGCTGTGGAGCATTAGTAGCCCCCAGGGCATTGTATTTGAACCATTGTGTTCGTGTGCACACATGGATCTTAGGAATGAAGGGATGCTTCTATAGGTAGAGTGAGGCAACTATTTCAGGCAGCAAGTGCTGAGACTAAAGCTGGTGACATCCCCGCTGTTTCTTGTGAACTCCCTTTGTGGTCTCCTAGAACAGAGTTATGTGTCACACAAGCCTTTTGAGCTCCCAAGATTACCCTAATCCACCGATCATTTTTCAAGATGTATTTGCTTGC